TTGATACTTTGTTCATAGCCTTGTTTATTGTTTTGATACTTTGTTCAAAGCCTTGTTTATTGTTTTGATACTTTGTTCACAGCTTTGTCTTCCTCATAAGAGTGATTATATTTTGACACTTTGTGCATAGTCTTGTTTATTGTTTTGATACTTTGTTCATAGTCTTGTTTATTGTTTTGATACTTTGTTCATAGTCTTGTTTACTTATTTTTATACTTTGTTCATAATCTTGTTTATTGTTTTGATACTTTGTTCATAGTCTTGTTTACTTATTTTGATACTTTGTTCATAGTCTTGTTTACTTATTTTGATACTTTGTTCATAGTCTTGTTTACTTATTTTGATACTTTGTTCATAGTCTTGTTTTTTTATTTTGATACGTTGTTCATAGCCTTGCTAATCTTGTTTTGGTACTTTGTCTCCACTCTGAGATTGCGTTTTTTTGTTCAATAAACCTATTGGGTACCACCTCTCTGCGCCTGAGTCCTACCTTGAGATCCACCCCCCTCTGACAGGTAAATTTGTCGCTAGTCGCTTTATTTTTGTGGAAAACTCACCAAATAGTTGGCAACGTCGACCACAAACCGGAGAAACAAAGGTGGCGTTTAAACTGTAAGAAATGAGGACAAAAACACCCTTCCCAGCTCAGGAAAAAGCTGTTGGTGGTGCCCTCTGAGGGAAGTCGGCCCGGTTATTTAGCCGCGTGTGAATGTGACTGCGGTTCCCCTCCGTGAATCCCCCGAACATTAAGCCACTCATGCGAGTTATGGGAGTGGAAAAATTGAGCAGTTTGATCACAGCGAGCAGGCGGAAGCAGCCTGAAGGAGACAAAAGGAAAACCGGTGGCACTTTGAAGCCCGCAGAGCTCCGACCGGCAGAAAGAAATGAAACCGGCGAAAACCCACTGTGGCAGGAAGGGCAAAAACAGAAAGCAGAGCCTGGGTTTATTTTGGTCTGCTGTGAGGGGACGGAGCTGGAGACTGCAGCTTTCCTCAGTCTGCTGCTTTCCCCCCTTTAAAATCCCACTAAAATGCTCATGGGTCAATAGATGCTGATGGATTACGCCTCCGTTCACCGAACAGGAACCGGGTCGATCGGGAGACCTGAGACCTCACCGCAGCGTCAGGTTTACAGGCCAAGATCACGAGTTTTTGCATTTGTGCTTAGCTTTTTGTTTAGTTTTTACAGGCTGGATGGTGGCTAATTGGAACTTCAATGGGTTTTAGTTTTAGTTTTAGTTGGGTTGAGGTCAATCCCCTAAACCCAACAAAGGTGCAGATGGCATCTATCTATCTATCTATCTATCTATCTATCTATCTATCTATCTATCTATC